ACACATGCACGCACACATGCACGCACACATGCACGCACACATGCACGCACACATGCACGCACACATGCACGCACACATGCACGCACACATGCACGCACACATGCACGCACACATGCACGCACACATGCACGCACACATGCACGCACACATGCACGCACACATGCACGCACACATGCACGCACACATGCACGCACACATGCACGCACACATGCACGCACACATGCACGCACACATGCACGCCACATGCACGCCCACATGCACGCCCACATGCACGCCCACATGCACGCCCACATGCACGCCCACATGCACGCCCACATGCACGCCCACATGCACGCCCACATGCACGCCCACATGCACGCCCACATGCACGCCCACATGCACGCCCACATGCACGCCCACATGCACGCCCACATGCACGCCCACATGCACGCACACATGCACGCACACATGCACGCACACATGCACGCACATGCACGCACACATGCACGCACACATGCACGCACACATGCACGCACACATGCACGCACACATGCACGCACACATGCACGCACACATGCACGCACACATGCACGCACACATGCACGCACACATGCAGACACCCACAGATACACATATTGGATGGTGACGAATGGTTGGTTGGGAAGGGGAAAGCAACGTCAAGAAGCGCGGGAACAAAGAAGGCATATGAGAGATGGGAGGGAGAGGAAGAGAGGGAAGGAGGGAGGGAGGGGGGGAAGGAGGGAGGGAGCGGCTGGAGAGACAGAGCATGAAGCAGACATGAGAGGGAGTGGGAGAACGAGGGATTGAGGGAGGGAGGGAGGGAGGGAGGGAGGGAGGGAGGGAGGGAGGAGGGAGGAGGGAGGGAGGGAGGGAGGGAGGGAGGGAGGGAGGGAGGGAGGGAGCGGAGGAGCGAGGGAGGGAGCGAGGGAGGGAGGGAAGGGAGGGAGGGAGGGAGAGGGAGGGAGGGAGGGAGGGGGAGGGAGGGAGGGAGCGAGGGAGGGAGCGAGGGAGGGAGCGAGGGAGGGAGGGAGGGAGGGAGGGAGGGAGGGAGGGAGGGAGGGAGGGAGGGAGCGAGGGAGGGAGCGAGCGAGGGAGGGAGTGAGCGAGGGAGGAAGGAAGGGAGGGAGGGAAGAGGGAGGAAGGAAAAGAGAAAGGGAGGCAGGCTCACATGTACTCCATCATCACGAGGCTTCCAATGCCCGAGGGGAGGGGGCCAGAGAGGCTGTTGCGGAAAATGTTGCTGTGCACACATACAGAGGCCACACGAGGCGTGGGAGAAAAGGGAAAGGGGGAGAGGTCACGGGGGGGTGACAAAGGCAAGAGGAAAGCCATGAGGGAGATTGCACATGGAGGTGAGTAAAAGCTGGTGAGAGGAAGGAGAGGAGGGAAAGGGGAGAGAGGTGAGGTGAAGAGGGGAGGCACATGTGTGAGGAACGTAAGGAGGTGGAGGAGTGAAGTGCGTGTCGAGCGAGTTGTGGAGCAGCGGAGTGGGGGTGTGTGATCATACGCGGGCACAGAGCAGCGGTGCTCACAGGTAGTCCTTGAATCCGCCTTTTGAGGCACCTCAAGAACAATAACATACTTTCTTAGGTGCCTACAAAACATTAACAAACTACTTGAGGCGCTTAAAACCAGGGTGCACATTCAATTGGATTTCTGTCAAAGGTTAACCTTTGACCTCGGGGTTACTCAGTGATTTAGGAATATCTGGGGGGAGTGTTCGCTTCAGCAGGTGAACATTTGAACCCTCGAGATTTGGCAAATGTATACCGAAGTCATCGAATGTGCTTCCGCCAATTCGTTTCCCCCCTCCCCATACCTATTCCGCTCCCACCGAAATTGTTTCCCCTTCCCCCACAATATCGTCTCACCCCCTTTCCCCTTTCCGCCAACCCAGTTGCCCTCCCCTTGATCCCCAATTTCTAGATCCAAGTGTTATCAATTTCTCCCCTGCCAAGCCTCATCTCTCACGGACGAAAAGCCCCATGCTCGCCCATTCTCAACTATTTATTCGCTACTCGTCAACCAATCAGCAGTTCCCGCAAACATGCCGCCCAAAATTTAGCCTGGAGTCGCGTTGAATGTGTACCCTGGTTTTAATATACAGAAGCGGAGTGGGAGAGCAGAGCAGGGCAGCGGTGCTCACAGGTCCTTGAGCTTGGTGAGCGTGCTGATGGCGTCCGGCACCGGGCCGACGAATTGGTTGTCGTACAGCGACCTGGTGCATGCATGGGGGGAAGGGTGTGGTGTGTGCGGTGCGGTGCGGTGCGGTGAGTTTTGAGGCGCCTCAAACGACGACTTTTGAGGCGCTGCTGACGGTGTCAGGGACAGAGCCGACGAATTGGTTGTCGTACAGCGACTTGGACGGGGGGAAGGGTGTGTGTGTGCGGTGAGGCGTGTGCGCGTGGATGTATGCATGCGATGTGCATGCAATGTGCATGCGATGTGCATGCAATGCAATGTGCATGCAATGTGCATGCAATGTGCATGCGCGGACAATGTGCATGTAGTGTGCATGCAATGTGCATGCAATGCAATGTGCATGCAATGCAATGTGCATGCAATGCAATGTGCATGTAGTGTGCATGCAATGTGCATGCAATGTGCATGGGCGGACAATGTGCATGTAGTGTGCATGCAATGTGCACGTAGTGTGCATGCAATGTGCATGCAATGCAATGTGCATGCAATGCAATGTGCATGTAGTGTGCATGCAATGTGCATGCAATGTGCATGGGCGGACAATGTGCATGTAGTGTGCATGCAATGTGCACGTAGTGTCCATGCAATGTGCATGCAATGCAATGTGCATGCAATGCAATGTGCATGTAGTGTGCATGCAATGTGCATGCAATGTGCATGCGCGGACAATGTGCATGTAGTGTGCATGCAATGTGCACGTAGTGTGCATGCAATGTGCATGCAATGCAATGTGCATGCAATGCAATGTGCATGTAGTGTGCATGCAATGTGCATGCAATGTGCATGGGCGGACAATGTGCATGTAGTGTGCATGCAATGTGCACGTAGTGTGCATGCAATGTGCATGCAATGCAATGTGCATGCAATGCAATGTGCATGTAGTGTGCATGCAATGTGCATGCAATGTGCATGGGCGGACAATGTGCATGTAGTGTGCATGCAATGTGCACGTAGTGTGCATGCAATGTGCATGCAATGTGCATCCGCGGACAATGTGCATGTAGTGTGCATGCGATGTAACCTCCGGTATGCACGAGAGTGCAGTGCGCACACGAAAGTGCGTTCGTCCCATATATTGGCTTAAAAAAGGACCGACTCTTGCAGCAAATGATTGAGCAGAAGGGATGTGTTGTGCTGGTCATTTGTCAGCCAATGGATGGATGAGCCTCAGTGGTTTGTACGGCACGGCGTCTGATGGCAGCACAGCACATGGCATAGCGCATGGCATGGCGTGGCAATGCATGGCATGGTAATGCATGGCATGGTAATGCATGGCAGTGCGGTAAGGCTTGTTGACGCCACATACAGGTCTCTGAGATTGGAAAGCGAGAAGATGGATGGGGGAAACGGGCCTGTGAAGTTGTTGTCTCCCAGATCACTGCAGTGCGGTGCACATGGTAAGAGAGGAGAGGATGGGGACACAAAAGAGAGAGGAGGGAGGGGAGGGGGAGTGGAGACGAGGGGAGAGGGAGGGGAGAGGGAGGGGAGACGAGGGGAGAGGGAGGGGAGAGGGAGGGGAGAGAGGAGGGGAGAGAGGAGGGACGAGGGAGAGGGAGGGGAGAGAGCACACAAAGGGGGAATGCAGGGAGAAGGTGATTGAGGGGATGGGAGTTAGAGCGGGGCTTGGTGTTGTTGCAGGAAGGTGGTGTTGTCGGATTGAGTGCAGCAGAGAGAGGGTTAGTGCAAGGAGCACACGTTTTAGGCACGTCAGAAGTTGTGTATGGAGCTCAAGGGGAGCGATTGGATGGCTGGTTGGTGTTGCATGGATGGATGGACTCATGCTGATTGGGTGGTGCTGGGAGGTGGGTGCGTGGGAATTGGGTGCGTGGGAATTGGGTGCGTGGGAATTGGGTGCGTGGGAGGTGGGTGCGTGGGAATTGGGTGCGTGGGAGGTGGGTGCGTGGGAATTGGGTGCGTGGGAGGTTATAATGGAATGGGAGGGGTGGTGGAAGCAGAGGGAGGTGAGGCGTGGCGGAGGGGTGGCGTGGGTGACATACAGAAATTGAAGGTTGGTGAGGGTGGAGATGCCATCGGGTACCGTGCCAGACAAGGTGTTGCAACACAGCTCCCTGATGTATGCGATGGGGTCCCCCCACAAGGTCCCCCCACAAGGTCCCCCCACAAGGTCCCCCCACAAGGTCCCCCCCCAAGGTCCCCCCACAAGGTCCCCCCACAAGGTCCCCCCCAAGGTCCCCCCACAAGGTCCCCCCACAAGGTCCCCCCACAAGGTCCCCCCACAAGGTCCCCCCCCAAGGTCCCCCCAAGGTCCCCCCACAAGGCCCCCCCCCACACACACATGTGCACACATGCACAACCATGCACACATGTGAACACATGCGGAAACATTTGAACACACTCACATTTGCACACTCACATGCGCAGCGCACATGCGTGCCTCTCCCCAACCGCAACCCGCCCCCCCAAACACACACACCAGTGACGATGGCACAGGTCAAAATAAAAAGCAGTTTGAGAGCACAGCAAAAGCAGCTGATGGCAGGGGACTGAGAGTGGGGAGAGTAAGGTGAGTGGGGAGAGTAAGGCGAGTGGGGAAAGTAAGGCGAGTGGGGAGAGTAAGGCGAGTGGGGAGAGTAAGGCGAGTGGGGAGAGTAAGGCGAGTGGGGAGAGTGGGGCAAGGGGAAGGGAGAGGGGTGAGCAGATCCAGGAACGAACGAGGGACGAGATGAGCGAGGGTAGGGTGAAGGACGCTAGTGTGGATGATGCAAGGGGGAATTATTGGAGGCGGATCAAAACTGGCGGCATGCGGATGGATGGTGCGTGCGAGGGGGAGAGAGCGCTCACAGGACAGCCGCACTGGTGAGGTTGCTGATGGCGACAGGCAGAGAGCCCGACAGACCGTTGAACGACACATCGCTGGTGGGTGGGTGCCACGTGTTGGGGTGGGATGGGATGAGATGGGATGGAAATGCATGGGATGCGTTTGAGGAGGCGTTGACATGCAAGTTGGCAAGGTTCAAGTGGTCTTGAGGGACAAACATGGGGAAGTGCATGGCGTAGAGCAGTAGAGGAGGGAGGAGGGGAAGATTGAGGGAGGGGGGGTTGGAGGAAGGGAGTGAGGGAGGGAGGAAGGGATGAGGCTGGGATTGCGGATGCCATCGAACCCCTAGCTGAAGGTTACCTGTTTCAACTCCTAGAACCCCCGCTTGGACCCTTTGTGGACCAGGCGGGTGGCGAGTAGGATGATTGCCTCACCATCAATCTTGCATGCTTGTATGCATAGTGCTTATTATTACAACGGACCATTCGAGGAAGGGAGAGGATGGAGGGCGAGGAGGGAGAGGGAGAGGGAGAGGGCGGAGGAGGGGGAGGATGGGTGAGCGATGGAGCTCCCATGAGGAGTGAGGTGAGGAGGACATGTATAGGTAGTGAGACGTCATGGGGAGAAAGGGAGTGGATGAGATGAGACAAACGGGATTTGCGGAGCGAGACGGGCGGGAAGGAAAGGGAGGTAAGGAAAGGGAGAAGGGGAAGGGGAGAAGGGGAAGGGGAGAAAGAGAAGGGGGAAAAGGGAAGGGGAGAAAGGAAAGGGGAGAAAGGGTAGGGGAGTAAAGAAGGAAGGGGAGGAAGGAAAAGGGAGAAAGGAAAGGGGAGAAAGGAAAGGGGAGAAAGGGAAGGAGATAACAGGAAGAGGAGAAAGGGAAGGGGAGAAAGGGAAGGGCAGAAAGGCAGTGCGGTGGAGTACAGTTCAGTGAGGTGGAAGAAGCTCCCAATGGTGGCTGGCAGCGATCCCGAGAGGTTGTTGTGGAGAAGACGCCTGAGGGGAGGAGAGCAGCCCGGGGTGGGGGAGGAGAGAAGAGAGGGGGTGGTTGAGGAGAAGAGAGGAGGGGATAGCAGACGAGGATACATGCAGGGGGGAAGAGAGATGGGCGAACCGTGATGGTTGGCTGGCGCCAGTCATGTGTGAGGAGAGGAGTCGTGCGCTGATATCATGTAGGAATCACAATGCCCACAAACTCGAGGTGGGAATTCTGTGTAGTGCATTGCACTCGCATCTGTGCTGTATGGCCTGAATGGCCCGTATGGCCTGTATGGCCCGTATGGCCTGTATGGCCCGTATGACCTGTAGATTCAATTTATGCGGGGTGTGGGGGTGGATGGATGGATTGAAGCGGGGGTTGCAGAGAGGATATGGTGGAGTTGGGGGAGATGATGTGGAATGGCGTGGAGATGTGGATTGTGGGGGAATGGGCAGCCAGAGGGGGCGTAAAGAGCGGGGAGAGACTGACAGGGATTGGAGGGTGGGATGGACGGCAGGTGGCACCTCCCCCGATAGCAGGTTGTACGCCAGATTGCTGCACGTATGGAGGAGGTGGGTGGCGGATGCGTAGTGGGGATTGTAGCATGTTTAGACAGGAGGTGGGTAAGAGTGGAGGTGCGGAGGTGGAGAGTGATGGGAGATGGTGATGAGGGAGTGGGGGGTTCATTTCGGTTGACTTTGTGAAAATGGAAGTGCATCCGTGGTTACGCGCGGTTCTGTGCGGTTACGCACGATGTGTGAGCCGTTTTGTTGTGGTTATGTGTGGTCCTGTGTGGGTATGCGCGGTTTATGCGCGGTTGGTTTGTGGTCATGCGCGGTGCAAGGAAGAGGCGGAATGCGAGACGAGGAGAGAGAAACGACGGCAGCAGGGGGGGGGGGTAACAGAGCAGAGGGCGCACAGATAGGAGAGGCTGGAGAGGGCGGTGCATGGGTTGCACATAGGGTGCACGGAGTGGGGTGCATGGGGGCACAGGGCACATCAGCTAAACCAGAGTCACGATTGAGAGTTCTCAAAAGAGAGGCAGAGGGCGCACAGATAGGAGAGGCTGGAGAGGGCGGTGCATGGGGGTACGGGCCCCATCAGAAAGTTGGAACCCAGGCTCCTGCAAGACGCGGAAACATTTGAGAGAAAAAGGTGGGGATGGGGGGAGGGAGGATGATGGGGGGGGAGGAGAACAGAAGGGGAAAGGGGGAGGTGGAGTGGAGAGCGGGGCAGTGGGATGTGAGTAAGGGTGGAGAATGGGGTGCAAACGAGCATCTGAGATTCCTAGGAGTGGCCAAACAGGCATAGTGCAGTGCAGGTAAACCAGCATCGAATCGAGTCTGTTAGCATGAATTGAAATTGCGGACGCGCGCGCGTGGCGTGGCATGGTGTGGCTTGGCGTAGCATGGACGGCACGGCTGGGAAAGGCATGGCATGGCATGGCGTGGCATGGCATGGCGTGGCATGGCATGGCAGGGCGACTGACATCCACTGCAGCTTGGAGAGCGCGGTGACGGTGGAGGGGATGAGCCCCGTGAGGTTGTTGGACGACAGGTCGCTGCGCCGAGCCCATGAGACCCACGCACGCGAGGGGGAAACGGGCGGAGAAAGGGGAGCGGGAGATGGGGAAGGGGAGAAGGAAGGGGGGAGGGGGAACGTTTGAAGGCGGGAAGAGGGGGTAGAAAAGGGGGTGAGGGAATGTCAGCAGGGGAATGTGACGTGTTATGGGGAGGGGGAGGGGGAGGGGGGGCGTGAGAGGGTGAAGCAGGCGGGCATAGCGAACTTGAATGCGATTGCGAGCTGAAAACGGTAGCATCAGCCTCAAGCAACCACGGGGATGAAGTCACACAATGAGGGTGCGCGAGAGCACGCATCAACGTGCATGCATATGCACGCGTGGGACGGAAGGCGCGGGAGTAGAGACGCGGAGTGTGTGCATGTGCGGAGGAGAGTGCGCGCGCAAGGGTGACACGCGCAAGAGTGCGCGCGCGCACGGGCGCTCGCTCACAGTGTGGTAAGTGCATTCAGTCCGCTGATGCTCAACGGAATGCTCCCGCTCAGCCCCGCGTATGGCATGTTCCTGCCACACCGGCACACACACACACGATAACATGACATGAACAGCAGGGCTCAGATGGAAACAACCATGCTTTTTGAAAAGTTTCAAGTACCAACCTCAAAATCAACCTCTCAAGTACCAACCTCTCAAGTACCAACTAGTCTCACATGGAGGTAACCATGCCCTGCGCATTGCACGTCAGCCGCGCTGCTTTCGCGCAGTCCGATCCCGCCGACCATCCGGGGAACGTCTGCCCCCACGCCTTCTGGCAGTCCTGAAGCACAGCGCCTGTAGCGCGATTTGCGCCGCGAAGCGCGGAGATTGCGGGTGCGTGGTGGGATAGGCACCGAAAAAGGAAACGGGAAGGTGTGAAAGAGGAAAGTGAAGTTTTGGTGTGAAGCGACGCGGACGGCATTTCCGTTCTGCTGGCTGTGGGAGCCTTTGGAAAGGGATGAGTGTGATAAGAGGAAGGGCTGTTTTCGCACGTGAGAGGTAGGAAGCGCGAGGTGAAAGGAGACGTGGACAGGGGATAGAAGCGGCAAATACAAGCAGGAGGGCAAGAGGAGGGTTGCGTCCAATGAAACGATGTGGTAAGAGAGGCGGCACTGCAGTGCAAAAGGAAGTGTCGCATCGTGACTTCATGAAACAATGCGAAAGTGCGCTTCTTTCTTTGCGTGCGACGGTGTTATAATAATGGAGAGAACGATGAAATGACGTGCCGACCTTGGGAAACGGCAATGGGTACTCCCACGGCGAGCAAAACGCAGTGCAGTAGCGCTAAGGCGCGCACAAGCGCCGCCGCACGCGCTGCCGGCGCGTGTCCCCGCCGCGCCATGATGTGTGCGGAGTTGAGCGGGATACGGAGGACGCGGAGAAGCGGTGGAGGAGCGCGACTGGGGGAAGAAGAAGCAAGGAGGTGGTGACGCGTGTCGGTGGTGTTTGAGCTAAACCAAGAAATCAGAAGGCAAGCAATTTCTGCATGGTGCGAGTTCCAAGAATTGTCAAAAAATTGCAATGTTCAAAAATAGCACTTCATGTTGGGTTGGGTGTGGTTCAGGCCAGGCTGCCACTTTGTATGGAAAGTGGCGGCGGGGTGACGTGAGTTCGTGACGAGGATGACAATGTGGGGTGGGACAACGAACCAATGGCAGGGGAGGCCAGCACAATCAGTCAACACTCACCCCTTTGTACAGCGGGTATCGACTTTGGTATGTTTTTAGTTAAATGAAGGCTCTAGAGTACTTACCCTTGACAGTTGATTACAGGGTTTTAGATGAAAAAGGGGAAATTCGGTCTCCCTAGCCCTAAATATTGAAGCTGGAACCTCGTCCCAGCAGACACTGGCAAAACAAAAGGCCCTACTGAGGAGGGACGTCGTGTTCAAATGCCGGAAAAACAGTCTCGAAAATAACGGTCCAGGCTCTCGTGTCTTGTTCAAACCAGGTTTCTTGTTTACTGTAGTTCAGACGTGTGCTGTTGAAATGGAGGTGCCCCTTTTTGCAGTGTCGGTGGTAATTCCAGGTGGCAAAGCGGCAGATAGAGGATCGAAAGTGTAACGAGCAGACTTTATGATTGGGTTGCTGCTTACAATCAAGCTCATCATTCACATTTACATTCATAACCAGTTTGTGACATCATGCTGTAAAATCGAAGTGTATACCACCATTTATACAACTGCATGGACACACGGAATATATTTAGCAATCAAGCAATGACCGAAGTGATGTAGAGCACACCCAGTGAGTCAGACTGAACAGCACACCAAGAGGATAAAAAATTACACGTGACCAAGAGTGAGAAACACACCACGAACAAATGTACCCCTAACCTTAGCATTGAGAATGTACAGGAGAGGACGCAGTCAGGCAAAGGAACGCACACGTTCAGACCCGAACGGACTCTACAGATTACTCAAAAGTACCGTTAGCTGAAACAACCTTGAAATATGTTCAAGGATGGTGCGATCATCCAAGCCATCTAGAAAGTCCCGTATCACTGTTATAACACAAGCGATCTATTTATTCACCACCACCTTTCTCCTTCCACACCTGATCCTTTCTCCCCCCTCGCTTCCTCCTAGAGTTGTTTGCAGCACCACCAGCACCAGCACCTCCTACATTCCCCACAGCTCCTTGGCCACCCTGGTACCCATTCTGCTGCTGCCCCTGCACACCCCCTCCTCGCCCACCCTGCACACCTCCATACCCATACCCCTGCGCACCCCCACCACGACCATGCCACCCAGCATGCTGCTTCCACCCTCCTCGCCCTGCCCCATGCCTCTCCTGCCCTCCCTGCCCAGCCTGCGCTCCTCTTTGCCCATGTGCTCCTCCCTGTCCGCCCTGTGTCACCCCCTGCACACCTTGCATGCCGCCCTGTTGCCCTCCCACCCCGGTTTGCCCTTGATCCCCCCACGACCACATGGCATGGCTGGGTGGTGGCGGGGGCTGCTCTCTGCGTTCTGACTCTGTGTCCGCCCATGCCTCGTCCCCATGGTACCCTGCCCCGTTGCCCCCTCCTCTCTGTACTCCTCCTCCTCTCCCCTTCCTTGGTCTCCGCCTCCCTCGCCGCCCACCATCCATGCCCTCTTGTGTCCCTGCCTCACCATTCGCTGCCGCTGCTGCCGGCAGTGGTGGCGCTGCGGGTGCTGCAGCTGCAGCAGCTGCTGCTGTTGGTGGTGCTACGGGTGCTGCTGCAGATGGTGCTGCAGGCGGTGCTGCTGTCGCCTCCCTACTGCCTGCAACGTGTCCCGCTTCCATTGTAGCTTTAGTCATGGCAGCATACGCTGCTGCGGCGGACTCGGAAGAAACAGCCCCACTTCCTCCTCTCCCTCCCCTACGACCCCCCCTTTCCCCTCGACCCCTTGTTGCTGCTGCCCCTACCCTACCACCCCCCCTTGCCGAACCTGCATTATACGCAGGAGCATCAGGGGCGGCAGCAGCGGCAGGAGCAGGAGCAGGAGCAGGGGCAGGGGCAGGGGCAGGGGCAGGAGAAGGAGTAGGAGCAGCAGAGGCAGGGGCAGGGGCAGAGGCAGGAGCAGGAGAAAGAGCAGCAGCAGCAGCAGCAGCAGCAGCAACAGCACTCGCAACAGGAGCAGGGGCAGGGGCGGGGATAGGAGCAGGAGCAGGGGCAGGGGCAGCGGCAGGAGCAGGGACACGGACAGGAGCAGGAGCAAGTTGAGCCACTTGTGAGGTGTTATTGACAGCAGCGATATGTGCATCCAAATGACCTCCCAAACCTCCCTTTTTCAGACCTTCCCTGTGCAACTGCATCTTCTGCTCCTCCTTCTCTGCCTGCTTCTCAACTCCCCTCTTACCATCAGCTTGCTCCTCCTGTTTCCTCCCGTGCACATGCACCTCCTCTCTCCTCCCATCCCCGTGCTTCAAAGACACCTCGCTTAAACGCCCAGTGATGATTTCAGCAGCCGATACAGTCGCTACGTGCCCATCTGCTGCTGCCACGCGCTCGCCTTTCACACCTGCCGTTGCTGCTGTTGCCTTGCCTCGGTCGATCAACACACCATGACTCCTGTCCCCAGCCACACTCCACGACACCCCTCCGGTCACGTTCCCTGCCGCAACTTCCCCTGATGCACCGCCCCCTCCCCTTGCATCCGACGCCGCTACTCCCGCCGCAGCCACATGGCCAGAACTGGTGCTGCTGCTTCCACCGCCCCCGCCGCCGCCAGCAGCAGCAGCAGCACCAGCGGGAGCAGCAGGAGGGATAGGACCAGCAGCAGCAGCTGCAGAGAAGTCACTTCGCAAGCCTCCGAAGCCCAAGGGGTGTGGAGGACCAAGAGTGGGGCGGGCGAGACTGAGCACTTCTGCTAGCCCAGGGCCAAGCGGAGCAAGACCCATATGGGGATTCAAATGCGAGGCCGCAAGCCCTAGAGGATAGCCTGACGGTCCAAACCGCATGCCTGGGAACGCTGGGTTGTGAAGCTGGTATGGAGATAGGTATGGGCTGACGGCACGAGGGGCAGTGGCGGAAAGTAGAGGGGATTGGGGATTTACGGGGAGGTTGAGAGTGGTGGGAGCAGCTGGAGCGGAGGATTGGAGAGGGGGGTATGCGTGGTGGGGTTGGGGTCTGTGAGGTGTGGAGAGGAGGGAGGGGACGGATGTGGAAGGGTTGGAAGATGCCTGCGCTGCTGCTTGCTCTCCGCCTAAACGCGACTGCTGCTGCTGTTGTTGTTGCTGTTGCTGCTGTTGTTGCTGCTGTTCCTGCTGCTGTTTCTGCCTATCCTGCGCATTCTCTTCCCCTGCCTTCTCCCCGGTGCCCTTCTTTTTCCCCTCCTTCACCTTTGCTGCTTCCAAACCACTCTGCTTTGCCCCACTACCGTTTACAGGAACGAGCTCAGCAGCAGCAACAGCAGCCAGTCCCCTTCCTCCCCGGCTATCCCGCCCAACAGGCCCCCCAATCATCCCAGGAGCAGACGCAGCAGCAGCAACGGCTGCAGCAGAAGCAGCAGCTCCAGCAGCCGCAGCAGCCTGGTGCAAACCCCTCCCCCTTCCCACACTCACCATTCCGCGCCCAAACCCGCCCCCTCTCACCCAATCCTCCCCTGGACTCCTCCCAACGCCCCCGCCTCCCCCTCCCCCTCCCCCTCCGCCACCCCCTCCTTTCGGCCCCATTCTGCCCTGGTTTCCCCGGTTGAAGCGCACAGGCATGGTGTCAACGGGGTGCGAGGTGGTGAAGGAGGGGCGTGCCTGGTTGGACGGCCATTTGAAGAGGGCCACGCGCAGCTGGCGGAGTGAGTGGGCGGGCGGGAGGGGCGAGAAGGCGCGTGCTGCGGCTGCAAAGGCGTCGCAGACGCTGGGGAAGGAGTGCGGCTGCACGGAGCGCGCACAGTTCTCCCGTGGGTCGAATGGATCCTCCACCTGGTGTTTGGACAGAGTGGAGTGAGGTGGAGTGGAGTGGAGAGGAGTGAACTGGAGTGGAGGTGTAGGGGGGTGAGGGGAGTGGAGTGAACAAGCTGGACAGCCCACGGTAGAGGGTTACACCATGCACGACAACTGCCAAGTGTCACGGCAGCAGCAGCAGTGGCCATTGCTAACAATAGCTGCAGTCACAACAGCTTGGGAAGTTGGGAATGGTAGGTATGATGGGGATGATGCGGATGATGGGGATCAGCTGCTAGTCTGACCAGACCAGGCCCCAGGCCCCAGGCCCACCCCACCCACAGGCGGCGGTGACGAGACAGCAGCACTCACGATCATGGAGTAGCTGCGTTGGGCGAATGATGAGTGCGTGACCGTGAGGTCGCCCCACTCTGCCGTCAGCGGCCGCACCGCCAGGCCCTGCGCCCACTGCTCACGCACTGCATCGTACTGCCATGGGACAACGGGATTCGGGCCAAGGTGTGAGGTGAATTCTTCTACATCTCTTCAACACACGGAACAAGGCCTGCAGTCGCAAGGGCGAGGGCGAAGGCTTGCTATAAATAAGAAAACAAAACGGGTAAGAGCAAAGCAAAGACGAGCAGAGACGAGTAGAGAAGAGCAGAGCAGAGCGGAGCACATACCTTGGCAAAGAAAGACGCGAGCAGCACGGCGACACAGCTGGTGTTCTTCCCCGCCCCACCCCATTCCACTGGCTCGCCCTTGTCCCGCGCTGCTATCATGCTCTCCACCCGCTCCTCACACTCTGCTATGCGCTGATGCCTCACCGCCTTCTGCTCCATTCCCTCCACTGCCACGTGCATGCACGCAAACACACCCATGCACACAAGACAGATGAGTGGAGCGGGGGGAGATGAGTTGAAAATGTACATTTTCTACGGTGCTTCAAAAGCAGCCTCCTGCTCTGTTCTCTCCTCTCCGTGGCCGCATGCACACCACACAGGCACACGAAGGAGGGGGGAGGTGATAGTGGACACGGAAAACCGGGGGAGTCCAAGGAGAGAGAGAGAGAAGGGAACAGCGGGGAGGAGGTGGCAGGAGCGAGCGAGAGGACATGTGCCGCGCCGATGGTAAGCGCTGAGACGACATAAGCGGCGACGAGCAGCCATGCACTGAAGAAGGCAACGTGCCCCAAAGGCACGGCTCATGACAACAACGTGCTGTGGCTGGAAGCCCCGGCCACGGGAGGGATTAATACACGAAAACACTATACACGCGACAGCACAGGGTAGGGTAGGATAGGGTAGGATAGGGTAGGGTAGGGTAGGGGAGGAAAGGAAAGGGTAGGGTAGGGAGAGTAGGGTATAGTAGAGTAGGGTGGTGTAGGGTAGGGTAGGGTAGGGTAGCGGGCACGCACGTCGTCCGAGGATGTGGCGGACGGGCGGGAGGATGGGCGGTTGCACGGTCTGCAGGTGGAATATGACGAGCAGCGCGAGCGCAAAGGAGTTGAGCGAGCCGCCCTTGGGGTCGTTTATGCCCTGCGCCTTCGCCCACGCCTTCACCTGCACGCACGCCACGCCACGCCACGCCATGCCATGCCATGCCATGCCATGCCATGCCATGCCACGGGGGAGGGATTGCACAGGGTGAGGGGAAATGGGGATGAAGCGATGGGGGGATGAGGGGACGGGAGGGATGAGGGGGTGGGGGGATGAGGGTACGGGAGGACGGGGGGTGAGGGTAAGGGGAGAAGAGAGGACGAGGGAGAGGACAGGGGAGCAGAAGGGACGGGCGGGAGTGAGAGGCGGGGAAGGGCGAGAGGAAAGAGAGGACGGGTGGGGTTTAGTATGAATGAAGTGCAGAACACGGCAGGACAAGGAAGGAGGCGATGGTGCACCAATGAGTTGACCGAAGAGTTGCAATGAGCTTTGGAGAAGTGCAAAAAAAGTTGCGCACCAATGACAATACTTCAGGGCGCACATGCAGAGGGTGGGGAGTGTGGAGATGGGGGGTGGGGGCGTGGGGGAGGGGTGTGGGGGGAGGAGGGGAAAAAGGAAAGAATCGCAAGAATATTTAAAGGAGGGTTTAGACGAGGCCCGAGAGGAAACGCGGACGGAGCGGCACGCGCCGCGCGGCGCAGAGCTGGCACTTACGAGGAAGAGCAGCGGGCGGCAGCGCGCGTCGAAACGGAGCAGCGAGCGCAGGACGGTGGACTTGAAGACGCCCGTGCCGTTGCCCACGGACAGGTCGCACGCGATGCCCGTCGCAGCGTCCGTGAACATCACCAGCGGCACCCGCGCGTGCGCCACTATCTGCACTCCCCGCGCCATGCCTGCGCGCGCGCCAGCGAGCGAGCGCGGAGGAGGGCGGAGGAGGGCGGAGGAGCGGGGAGGAGCGGGGAAGAGAGTGGAGGAGCGAAGGAGCGGGGAGGAGCGCGGAGGAGCGGGGAGGAGCGCGGAGGAGCGGAGGCGGGCGAGGAAACAGGAGGGAACCCCGGGGGACAGGGAACGGAGCAGTCATGAGAACGTGCGTGCATTACAATGAAGAGCGGGAGGGTGAGGATCGGTGATGGAGAGGTGAAAAGGCAAAAGAGGGACGAGGAAGGTGGAAGGAGGCAAAGGATGAGCGTGTGTGTGGGTGTGAGTGTGTGGGTGGGGGGGGGGGGGGGGGTTTGGGTGAGAGAACGAGAACGAGAGCGAGAGCGAGAGAGAGGCAGCAGGGACGAGACGACAGCATACCTGTGTGCAGCAGGCGGTAGTGAATGGCATGCAGTATGTTGACGCCCTGTCGGCGCAGCCCGTTGCCCCCCGTGCTGCGCACCTCGCCCTCCAGCGACAGGTCCAGGTCGCCCCACGGCGAGAACAGGTCCGACGCGAACGACCCGAACGGCACCACCTCCATGCCTGCCCGCGGGGAGACAGTACGCGGAAGGGCGGGGCGGAAGTGGGGGAAGAGTGGGGAGGTGAGATAAGAGAGAGAGGAGGAGGGAGGGACGAGGGGACGGGGTTGAAGCCCCACGGCGAGAACAGGTCCGACGCGAACGACCCGAACGGCACCACCTCCATGCCTGCTCGCGGGCAGCGCGCACGGGCGCGCGGATGCGCGGACGCGCGGCGAGCGGGAGGCGCAGGGGAGGGGGGTGTGGAAGCGGGGAGGGGACGGGGGACAGGGGAAAGGGGAGAGGAGAGGGGAGAGGGGAGAGGGGAGAGCGGAGACGGCAGAGGCGAGGCGAGAGTGGAGAGGGAAGAGGAGAGAAGGCAGACGAGAGGGGGGAGCGGAAAGAGGGGATGTTCCGTCAAGCGTGACCAACGCTTCTTCATGTTCGACTAGAAACGAGTCGCTTGAACCGAGTATGGCTGTTCTTGTTTAGTTCCTTTCATCTCGTCAACCACCAAATGTTTCGTAGCAAACGCTGTCGTTACCTCTGCTTCTACGTCTGCCTCTGCCTCTGCCTCTGCTTCTGCCTCTCGCCTACTTGTGCCTCCGTCTCAACCGGGAAAGAGAGGCATGGCATCGCACCTTTGCAGGCGGGCACGGAGGCGACGAGCATGTTGATGCGCTCGACGAGCTCCAGCCGCACGTTGTAGTCGGGATCGCGCGGACACATGCGCTCGTACAGCCCGCGCAGCAGCGCCTCCAACCCCACCTCGTTCTCGCGCTCTGACGGATTCAACACCAAGGAAAGAGGTGAACGAAAAAGAGAAAGAAGTTGAAGAAGAAGAAGGAAAAAGTCCGTCCAGGGTTCGGGTTCGTGGAGAGGGGGTTTTTATGAAAGGGTTTACGTCGGCAGTTCGCGGAACCATACCGCTAAGAGCAAGAGCCGAATCGGAACCGAGTAAACCCAGGGCGGGTAAGAGACCGAGAATGGTCACAATAAGATCATCGGTCGTGTTGGTAGGGCGTGTGGACGTACCATTGTCTGGCCCTCTCGCGGTGCTATCGCCCATGAGTCCTTGCGTGACACTCGGCGCTGTGGACGCAACGGCAGCGGCACTCCCGGCCATGGGTGACATTCCTTGATGGAACACTGCGAAAAGGATTCGCTATCGTAACGGATAATAGAGAGTCCAGCGCTGTGCGACGGAATGTCGCGAAGAACGGCGAATCCACAAGTAACTTCCAAGTACGCGACGGATAAACCACGTGTCGCCGAGACCGCTGCGCTGTGGGGTTGTCTACTGTGTTCTGCTTGTTTCCTCGAGAATTAGCTTAGATGCGGCTCGCAATGCTGACTTTGACGCTACTTATTAGTCTCCATGGTATTATCACGACATCCCGCTCGGCGTAAAGACATATCAAAGGTGACTAGCGTATGGTAGTACAGAAAAGTGTGGCTGGGAAAGACCACGAATAATGATTAACGCGACAATGGCTATTGAGGCTTAGCACGCAGCTTACTAACTAATAATAGCTGGACAGCAACAACCAAACATGCTTGGTAGACAGACCACAACAACCAAACCGGGCGTCTCGACCTGGACAAGTATGTAATCCGCGCACTTTGAATCATAAGGCGGGAAGCGACAACTCCAAGGGGTTGGGAGGGAAGGAGAGAGAGAAAGAGGGTGACGTCAGCAAATAAGTGGGTGGAAAAAATGCTCCAACACGGAGGCAAAACGGCCTCCAACGCGGCAGGCGAAGATTTGTTGATGTTCGCGGTGTCAGATTGAGAAGGTTCTACATCACGGATTCGCTTCTCTACTGTCACAAGTCTCAACGTTGCTTAGAATGGGTACATGGTCAGTCAACAACTTTGTTAGTTATGTAATTTGGTAACACTTGTTTGTTTTGAGCACCTACAGAATTAGGAAATTGAAATCCCAAAAGCAGACAAAGAGCCAAATGATAAGACTTCCCTGCTGCTGTTACATTTTCCAATTGCTACCACTTCTTCCCCTTACACATCCAAGAGCATGAAATGGGAATGAAAGGCAGCCACTTATAGGCAGCTGATGAAACAAGGACACAAACTAATCAGGATAAGCCATCACAGGCACCGCATTGCTCCTCTAATCACCCTTCCGGCGGAAAGAGCAGCCCTCAGTAAGCCGAGCCTTGCCACCAGTAGGCTGGCAAAGGACCGTGGAGCAGGAGCCACATAGGACAACGGTCTGAGAGTGACTGAACACCGTGGTGCTGCAAACAGCCAATAAGAACACCCTCAAGAGAGGTATTAGAGACAGCAATCATGGAAGCCATACAACGAAAATCGATGGCAAGTATGTTCAGTGCAAAAACTTACATGTTAAAACAGCCCTGGCATTTGACATCCTGCATGGCATGCATTAAGAGTGGAACAAACCATCGGACAGATCAATCGTGAGTAAGCATGAGACTAAGGCACCGAATCCAGCACCAAACATGCGAGGGAAAAGAAGAGGTGTCGGGACGCGAGATCGGGGAGGAACGGGAAGGGAAAGGTTGAACGACGTTGGGCAAACATTGGGAGGGAGGAGAATGACGGAACACTAAATAGGCGGGCAGAGGGGATGAAGAACGCTATGGAAGACGGCCCAGTCGATAGCCTAACAACGAAATGAACGAAAGTCAAACATGCTAAAAAAAACCTAATCCTTCAAGCCTACAGAGCCGAACGACAAGGTTCCTCTATCTGAGGCAATAGCCTTAGCCTCCACAAAATCCGACTCGAGGAAATCAACAATTTACCGTACCTACGGAACGATGGGAAACGCGGCACAGCTGTTGAGCAAGGTCCCTTGGCGTATAATTGAGACGGCAAAGATCCGTCTTCAGACTAAAACAGACCACAAGGACAACTACAGGAATCGCCAGTATGCGAGCTCACCATGAAGAAGCTGTTCGGTGTGGGTACAAGGCGCTTCATCTTGTGCTTGCGCTTCTCCAGCTCCGCTGGCGGGTGCAGCAGATCAATGTCGTTAGAGAGAACCTGAACGAGGTCACAGGGATCGGCAACTATGAGTATTTAGGATGGCGTAAACATGGCTCCCAGCAGCTCCAGAAACAGCTACAGCGCACAGTAGTAGAGAAAAGGCAAGAAGTGCAGATGTTTCTGAATAACGGCGTCTAGAAGGTCGATAGGCGACATGGGAGAGCACTCGGACAGCTAATCAACAACCCTAAAAAAACAGCCACCTTGTAACCTAACACCCATGCTGAACACGAAACTTCGCAACACGAGACACGACCGATTCCCGAATAGAACAACGACGAAACGGCAGTCTACTACCCTAACACAGGTCTCAAGCTTCGCACCATGATGGCAGATGGGCCGAGGGTTCTGATGAAGTGGGTAGGCGACTAAACCCCAACGCAGCCCAGAAGGTAGAGGCTCGAGTGGGGAGAAGAGAGAAGTGGAAGGAAAGAGTCCCAGAGCCAAGGGAAGGGAAAAGAAGAAGGTGTTGTTCGATAAAGGGATCCTCGGGTTGCGACCTAACTCGCAGATTGTGCTGATACTACACAAGTTACACGTAGTGAACCGACAAATCCCTCAGAACATTCTTGATAGTAGCGAAATTTCACGTTTAGAAACGTGTTTCGTTGTCTACAGTCCAATTCAATCCGTTTAAACCTTGCTGAGTAATTAAGCACCTCAAAGCAACAAACTTGGCCTTCCAATGCGTACACGCGAAGCCCTGATTTTCTACCTTCCTAACTCCCCCAAACCTCTCAACACAGTCCACTTCCAAGAGCCACGTGAGCGTCTGCCTCAATTCTTCACCTGTCGACGTCACCAACTCCCACGGGCCCCGAATAAACGCGCGACAGCGTGGCAATACGGGTAGACCATCTCACACTTTTCACCTTCCCCTCGGGCTTGCCCCCACCCTCCTCTTCCACCTCCCTCATCCTTCCCTCCACCCTCTGACCTGCCAACCTCCCAACTCGCTGTTGGGACTTGCTTGTGCTAGACCTAGGAACCTGCCTAACTTGGCACATCTCCCTGTATCACGCGATCCGACGTCCCACCATGGCTGGCTCCATCGCGCAGCTCTCCCACTCCCTGGCCTCCGTGTCATTGGGCTCGGCCACATCCTGCTCCTTCGCAGGGTTGAGGGCGAACAAGCCCGCTGCCTCAGTCTCCCTCATTGCCTCCAGGGTAATCCGACGCTTTGGACTGCTCGCTGGCACTTAGAAGCTTAGCTTGTCGTGAGGCTTAGCTTAGCTTGCGGATCGTCGGAATGTAGGGTTAGTTAAGCATTAAGGGTCGCATATGATTTCGTCCTACGTGCCGTTCATTTCGTTTCGAGCAGCCTATCGCTTAGCTAGTCCGGCTACTCCGTATCTCCACACCTTAAACGATTCCTGCGACTACGAAAAGGCGTTATTTTCAGGGCGTTATCAGGCTTCCGTGTTGTTTTCCACGAAGTTAGTTGCTGTTTTCCTTTCGCTGCGGTTCTGGTCTCTGAATCACCGAACATTCCATTCCGTCGTCCCCCCCCCGGCCCCTGTATGTGTAACCCTCTCTTCCACCTCCCCACCCCCCTCTCTCTCTCTCTCGCTCCCTCCCTCGCCCTCTCCTCTCCTTTCACTCACTCCACCGCACTTCCTCTCCCAATGCTGTCCCCACGGCCCTCAACAGACGTCGCCAGCGGTGGCTGCTCCCTCCCGCCTGGCCGTGAGATGCGCTCGTGTGGCCGGAGTGGAAATCCCGAACTCGAAGCGTGTGGAGACGTCGCTGACGTACATCCACGGCGTGGGCAAGACGACGGCGCGGCAGGTGCTGCTGGACGTGGGCCTCGAGAACAAGCTCACTCGCGACCTGTCGGAGGAGGAGCTCACGCGCCTCAGAGATGAAGTCTCCAAGTACATGACCGAGGGCGACCTGGTGAGCGCGCTTGTTACAGGTGTCTATTGATCTGACTGTCCAAAGAATCAGGTTGCTTGTTGGAAGCGGGAAAAGGGGTGGGAGAGAGGGGAGGGGGAGGGGGACTGGAGGAACGGGAAGAAGGGGGAACGGGGAAGGGAGTGGGGAGGGGGGGATGGAGGAGGGGAGAGATGGAATTCACTTTTTAGGGTTTGCCATCATATGCGGCAGCGCGTTGGATTTGCGACGAGTACCACGCGCTACGCGGTTAATCTTGTTTCTATATTGGGTTCTCTTGCGAGCCCGTCTGGTTGTGTGGCAGTGTGCACCGAGATTACATGGCTGAAAAATGGACTTCCTCCCACGTTGCTTCTGTTCCCCGCATTCCCTCCCGTCTCTCTCCCCCACACCCTTTATCTATGTTTTCCCTGTCCCCCGTACTCCCGCACCTTCCGTTCATTCCGCGCGCCTTTTCTCCCTGTCCCCCGTACTCCCTCTCTCCTTCAGTCCTCCATCTCCCTTGTCCTGCCCCCCTTTCCCCTCTCTCCCTGTTACTCGGTCTCCTCCGTACCTTCGTTTCTCGACTTCGCCCTCCGCATCCCAACTCCGCACATCCATTCCCATTCACCCAACTGATTCATTCGTCCATCCATCCATCATCTCTCCCCATCCTTTTTCATGCTGGTTCCCACCTCCCTCTCCCCGCCCCCCTCTCCCCACCTCCCTCTCCCTCTCCCTCTCCCTCTGAATCTGTGTGTCCCATGGTTCTCCCCTCCCCACAGAGGCGGTTCAATCTGATGGCGGTGAAGCGGCTGAAGGACATCATGTGCTACCGCGGCAGGAGGCACATCGCCAACCTGCCGTGCCGCGGCCA